GTGTGTGTGTGTGTGTGTGTGTGTGTGTGTGTGTGTGTGTGTGTGTGGTGTTCCCCTCTGCATCTCTGAGATAGGACCCACCCTCTCCTTTAGCCAGTGTTCCCCCTCCAGATGTTCAGTTCCTCCACCCACCTGCACACAGCTGAGTTCTGAGCCCCTGTGGGCATGAGGGGCGCGGACCACAACTTTGGCTGACCTTTGGGGGTGTGAGGTGGGAGTGGGCAGAGAGGGGGCTTCTTCCCAGAATCAGGCTAGTCAGACCCCCGGGGACAGCAGGGGCCAGTGCTGGGGCAATGCCTGGGGCCCCTGAATGCAAATAGAAAGTTAATTTGGGCAGGAGCTGGGTTGCTCTCAGTCCTGCTGCCCTCCTGCCCGCTCTATTAATACGGATCCAGCTCTGCTGCCTGGCATCACTATTTATAGTCCAGAGGCGGCGGCCACACCCCCCTGTGGGGGAGGGTGAAGGGCAGAGGAGGGGGCAGGGAATGCACAGCTATAGGGGCCACAGTGGAGGGTCCCTAGATGCCCACAGCCTCCTTGAGTGGGCCTGGCGCTGCTGGGCTGGACTCTCCACCTCCTTCCCAGTCTGGACTGTGCTGTCAGGCCCCATGATCCCCACCACCCATGACCCTAGGGTTGAGTGAGTCTGTCTAGACCCTGCACACTCATCATTAATTAGCTTGTTAAATGGCTGAAAGGAGGAGGAGGGACCTGGCAGGGCTCTTTCTGAAACAGCTGTGGTTGTAATTAGGTGGACTATGTGGTTGGCTATTATTTATTCCGGTTATGATTACTCTGGGATCAGCTTCTCTGATTGGTGACTTGGCAGGGAAGGCTACCTTGTCTCCCAGCCACCAGTCTCCCAGCCACCAGTCAGCCTTTAGAATTGATGCCCGCCTGCCTGGGAGGGTCTGTGGATGTACCAAGGTAGTGGGTGACTTTGTCCACTGTGGTTATCTGCTGTGGGCTTCTCAGTCTGCTAAGCCCTCCCACCCCCATGACCATGCTGCAGGGGTCTTAGGAACAAGCTCTCGAGCTTCTCAGTAGGGGGCCTGTCAAGGTACCCACTTGGCCTGGGATGCCTCTTGCCCTTGTGGCCTGCCTGAGCTGAACTGTCTCAGCGTCCAGGAATGTAGATTTCCCTGCCAGTCTTAGCTCAGACTGGCATGAAGCTTGGGGCACCAAGTGGCACCAGATTGGATAGACAGGAGGCTGGGGCCTGGGGACAGGAACGTGGACAAATTGGAAGGGTGGGTGGTGGAGAGCAGGAGGGCTCTGGCTTCTTCCAGCATAGCCTCTTCTGTGGGAGCCCTCAAGCACCTGGTGTGGCCAGAAGGTGGAGTTCTGCCAGCCAGTATTAGGTGCCTGTGGGCACACCTGCTGCTGTGCACACTCCTGGTGCCTCTGGCTACATTTTCTGGCTCCCACACACCCTCCCCCTTCCATGTACTTGAACTTCCTAGGCAGGACTGGGCTTGTGTCTATTGCCTGGGAATGTGCTCTGCTGAGGCCGGGCCCAGTGGCCTAGGTTTGGCTAAATTCCAGGAGAGACCAGAGAGGAGACAGAGATACTTTGTCGGAAAGAAAGAGGGTGGTGGTCATTACTAGACTCTCAGAGCTGATGGCAGCTCTCCTAAGGTCACACAACAATACGGAGTTGGAGCAGATTCTGGGTCCCGTCAGGTCATCTGACTGGTCCACGGTTTTTCCTTGTCCCCTATCTCAGAGCTTTTTTTGTGACCCCGGAAGTTGCTGCCTCTCAAATGAACCCTTCTACCCAAGGGGCAAATTGGTGGATCATGGGTACCTGCTGGGGTGGGGGGACCTGGGTGTCTATGTTCTCTGGAGAACTTCTCCATTTACAGAGAACCTTCACATACACTGTTTATTACCCCAGGAAGGTGAGTGCTATTGTCCCTACTTTTCTAATGCGAGAACTAGACCTCACCTGGAGAACTCACAGCTAGGAAAAAGAAGAGGAATTAGGATGAGGGTCAGATATTGGGACTCATCCACTAGTGCTCTTTTCACTTTGCCCTGTGCTGTGCAGCCCTGGAGGTGCCCATCTCAAGCACAGGCAGGTCAGATGTGGATTGTGTGGACTCTGTGAGTGCAAGTGCACCAGCTCTTTAGAGTTAGAGGTGAGCCTGCTAGAGCTGTGGGGTGGGTGTGGCTTCAACCCTGCCTGCCCTTCCAAGCATTTGCTTTCTCCACAGGCTGCATGTTGTGCCTGGGCCAGTCCACCTTTCTCCGCTTTAACCACCCAGCTGAAGCCAAGTGGATGAAAAGCATGATTCCAGCTGGGGGCCGGGCCCCTGGGCCCCCCTACGGCCCTGGCCCTGGTAGGTACCCGGCTGGGGCAGGGGCTTGGGCTGTGGTACTCCTTGGACAGTCCTCCTCTTTACCCACTCTACCACACTTGAAGTGTTAGGGCAGGACAGCAGCCATGCTCTGGGCTCCCTGCCACCTGCTAGGGGGGTGGTAGAGAATGCCAGACAGTGGGGCCACTGGGAGAGATCCAAGGCAGTGCTGCTTGGCTAAAATTGGGGACTCATGTGCCTTGAGGGACAGAGGACTCTCCCAGCCTATACCCCACTGCCACTGAGTGTCCGGGATCTTGGCCCATTTGTATCACCACCAGGGAGCCTCACCCTAGAGGGTGGCCTGAGGGGCAGAAGGAAGCATTAGGTTGGACCCCTAGCAAGTTCTGGTGGGACCCACCTGCTGGTGATCATGTCCTTGGGCCCTGCCCAACCCTCAGCCTGCTGATGACTCAGTGGAGCAGCTGCAGTGTGTGTGTGAATTATTGATCCCGAGAGGAGAATTAGTGATTGTTCTAGGGAACCAACACAGGCTCCCTCAGCCCAGCTGCCTAGGGGGTTGGGTGCAGACCAGGAGGCTACCACTGGGTTTACCTCCCCAAACTTTGCACTGACATTTAGATGGCTGTGGGATGACGGATGCTGGGATGGAGACACGTATGTCAGATCCATCTAGTGGTGGTATCAGTGGCCTAAATGTAGAACCTGGGGACCCGAGGAAAGGTGGGTGGTCACTGGGATCACAAGTATCCGTGGCAGCCCCTCTGACTGTGTCCCACACAGCCCCTGTAATTTGGATCCAGATTCAGTCTTGCAGAGACTTTCCCTTCTCCTCTCCATCCCCCCCAAGTCTTTTCCAATCCCCTGGGGTCTCAGAAGCCTAGGTCCACAATCCACTGCCTAGTTATTTTACCCTGCCTCCATTCTAGCCTTGTCATGCCACCCTCTTTACTGTTTGAGGCAGTGCTTCCAGGGATTTCTGATTGGTTGACTAGGGCTGGGGCATGGCAAAGGCAGGCTCTTGCTGGCTTAATGGGATAATTGGAGCCACTGGGCTGCACCTAGCTGCTGGCCAGCCTGGCTTCCAGGAACCAGCCATTAGCACCAGATCCCTCCCTTGTCTCTGATTGGTCAGAGTGGGGCAGCACACACCCCCTCGCCTAGCCCTGAATGCTTTGTTGTTTTTTCCCCCATGAGCTTCGTGTGTTGGGAGGCCCTGATATCCTGTTAGACTAGGACCCCCTGGAACTTATGACCAACTCTATCTCCTTTACATATGTCCACCTGCCTTTTCTGAGGAGACATATAGGATGTTGGGGAAAGCAAGGCAGAGAGGAGTCTAGTCTTGGAGTGAGTTGGCAACAGCTAGGCTTAGAAGTGCTTGGCACTGTTGCTAACACTGTCCTAAGTCATTAAATGGAGGCAGTGGGCCCTTTATAGAAAGGGGAAACGGAGGGTAAGCAACTTTGCTAAGGTTGCATAGTTGGTCAGTGGCAGACTTGGCTGGTGCCGGGACCCAGATTTCCTGGCTTCTTCTCCAAAGCCTTTCTGGCCTCACTGTGCTAGAAGGAGGTGGGATAGTGCCCTCGCTCTTATGCTTATGCAGCCTCCCAAAGCCAAAGACCAGGGCCTGAGGCCTCTTTGCGTTTCCCTTCAGCAGAGTCTGAAAGTCTGGTGAATGGGAACCATACCTCGCAGCCTGCGACCCGGGGACCCTCGGCCTGTGTCAGTCACAGTTCCCTGGTGAGCTCTATTGAAAAGGACCTGCAGGAGATCATGGACTCACTGGTGCTAGAGGAGCCTGGAGTTGCTGGCAAGAAACCTGCTGCAACCTCTCCGCTGTCACCGATGGCTAATGGTGGGCGCTACCTGCTGTCCCCCCCAACCAGCCCCGGCGCCATGTCTGTGGGCTCCAGCTATGAGAACACCTCTCCAGCCTTCTCTCCACTCTCCTCACCAGCCAGCAGTGGAAGCTGTGCCAGTCACTCACCCAGCGGGCAAGAGCCAGGACCTTCTGTGCCCCCGCTGGTTCCTGCCCGCTCGTCCAGCTACCATCTGGCCCTGCAGCCCCCACAGTCCCGCCCAAGCGGTGCTCGCTCCTCTGAGAGCCCTCGGCTGGGCAGGAAAGGGGGTCATGAGAGGCCTCCCAGCCCTGGCCTCCGGGGTCTGCTGACAGACAGCCCTGCAGCCACTGTCTTGGCGGAGGCCCGGAGAGCCACTGAGAGCCCCCGGCTGGGTGGGCAGCTACCCGTGGTAGCTATCAGCCTCAGTGAATACCCAGTTTCCGGTGCTCGCAACCAACCCACCAGCATACCTGGCAGCCCCAAGTTCCAGCCTCCAGTCCCTGCTCCCCGCAACAAGATTGGCACCCTCCATGACCGCCCTCCCAGCCCTTTCCGTGAACCTCCAGGCACCGAGCGGGTGCTGACAACCAGCCCCTCACGCCAACTGGTGGGCCGAACATTTTCAGATGGGTTAGCCACCCGCACCCTGCAGCCTCCTGAGAGTCCCCGCCTGGGCCGGCGGGGCTTGGACAGTATGCGAGAACTCCCTCCCTTGAGCCCGTCTCTGTCCCGACGAGCTCTCTCCCCACTGCCCACCCGGACCACCCCAGATCCCAAGCTGACCAGGGAAGTGGCAGAGAGTCCTCGGCCCCGGCGCTGGGCAGCTCATGGGGCTTCACCAGAGGACTTTTCCCTAACACTAGGGGCACGGGGCCGTAGGACACGGAGCCCCTCACCCACACTGGGGGAGTCCCTGGCACCCCGCAAGGGCAGCTTCAGTGGCAGGCTGAGTCCAGCTTACAGTCTGGGCTCTCTTACTGGGGCTTCACCTCGCCACAGCCCCTGTGCCCAGAGGAAGCTCTCCAGTGGGGACTTGCGGGTACCTGTCACGAGGGAACGGAAGAATAGCATCACAGAGATCAGTGACAATGAGGATGACCTCCTGGAATATCACCGACGGCAGCGCCAAGAGCGGCTCCGGGAACAGGAGATGGAGAGGCTGGTGAGTGGGTGCCAGGGAGGTTGCTGCCGGCCGTGGCAGGGTCTCTGCCAAGGCTCAGGCAGGCCACCTGGCAGAGTGGAAGGGGCCCTTGGGTGGGGCCTGGGCTTTTCAAGCTTTCCTTCCTCTAGGGTACTTTAGTGACCAGTATCTCATGGTTTTGGTGCCCTGAAGAAATTACTTTGAAATTGCTAAGGCTTTATTTTAAATTCTTGCTCATTTTGCCTTTATTCTCCAACATAGCATTTGTTTTCATGTATAAATTCAGTTTCACATTATTTACCTGAGTAACGTGACGCTCTAGGAAAACATACCACATTTATGGTAAGGCCTTATACCTCTCGGTTTAGGAACTAGGTCTTGACAATGAGAAGAATGGATTTGTCCAAGAGAGAATGAATTTGTGCCAGAGAGAATGAACTTGTCCGAGGTCACCCAGCAAGTGTAGCAGAGCTGGAATTGGAACCCAAGTCTCCTGTCTTTCTGACTCTGTCTGAGACTTAGTCTTTAGAAAAGCCCTTGGTCCTTCTTTTTTGCTTCCCTTTGCCATCTACAAATGGTGGGAGTTGCGCTCTCTGGCCCAGGCTTGATCATCTGGGAGTGTGGGTGGCCGGGAAGAGGGAGAGAACAGGGTGGGCAACCCCTGGCTTGGGTCCCGGCTGACCTATGTGACTGTGACTGTATGTGTCCATGTGCATGAGTGTGGGTGCATGCAGGGGCTGGGTGTGGCTCTGGGCAGCTGTCTTGGAGAAGGCATCTGAGCTGGGTGGGGGCCGGGATTCCCCAGATAGTGCAAGGAGCTTAAGGGGTTCTGGCTGGTGTCTATACGCTTGAGCCCATGTATGCAAGAATAAATTCTGCCCTCTCTCCCTTGCGAGCAGAAGAACAGGGTTCCTGGGGGATCCCAGGAACCCTGGGGTAGGTTTGAGGATGAGAACCAGAACCGAGGAGGTTTGTCTGAAGACCCATTAGGAAGAGGTTGGGGCAGTATTGGGTAAGGGTGTGGGACAGTGTGTTTGTGTAGGGAGGGGAGAGATGAGGCAGGATCCCCAATATTCCTTTTTGCATCTCCTGTTCCCTGTTTTTGTCTTGCCCAGACGAGAATGCCTGGCCACCCTGGGGTCTCATCCTGGAGAGGGGGTAGTGGGCCTGGCACAGGCAGAGGAGTGGACCCAGCCTCCTCCAACTCCTCCATCAGCCTCCCTGCCCATGCCCGCATACAAGCACACACCTCACCACCAGCCCTGACCTGCCCCACCTGCCACTTTAAGCCTTGGAGGCTGCCCGCCCAGCCCCTCCCACCACCTCAACCAGGCTGCTTATCTGGGTCCTGGGGTGGAGGTGGCAATACTAGCCCAGCCTCCTGGGTGCTGAGGCTCTGTTCCTGGTTTTTTGTTTTTTTTTTTTGCCATGGAACTGGGCAAGCATGAGGAAGGGAGCTGGGTAAGTATATGGTGTGGGGTCATGGCCAAACTGTAGGTAGCGAGGGACACCTCAGGAAGTCAAGGGACCCTAGACAGCAATCGGGCCAGGCTTTAGGGCTGGGATGTTATGAATGGGAGAGGAGGACAAAGACTGGGGACATCCTTCCTTCACCTCCTGGGCCCTGAGAGGTGCCTATATCTGGGTGTGTGTGTGTGTAAGAGCAGATTAAGTGGCAGGACCCTGGAGTACTCACACCTGGTTCTGGGCATTCAAGGACTGGCAGCAGCCCACCCTGCTGGTAGAGTCAAGGACTGCCTCAGGGTGACTTAGAGCTGAGGTGGGGACAAGGAGAACTGTGTCCCAGGTCTACCGCTTCTCCATGTGTGCCTATGGCTGGGTGTCAGGTCCTTTTGGGCCCCTGGGTCTGTTTTCCAACCCTGTCTGTCTGTGTAGGTGCCTACCTGTCTGTATGCTAGGCTGTGTTTATCTGTGTGAGTGTGCGTCAGTGTGCATTTGTGCATGTCAGGGCCAGTGTCTTTGTACCTGCCTGTTAACGCAGGGCTGGTGTGCGCGTTGTATCCTTGTGTGCCTGTGTGCCAGTGTGACTTCGCGTCTGTAGGCCTGTGTACTCTGTCAGCACGAGCATCTGAGTTTTTCTGGGTCTTATTGTGATCTTTAGTCTGCTTGCCAGCGTGTATTTCCGTGTGTGTTTGGGTGTGTTCCTGTGAGTCCATGAGGAAGCCCCATCCTGGGGTAGAATGAGAAGGGAAAGGAAACAGGAAGATGGGAGGGGCTGGCCACATGGGCAGGTGGCACAATGCCTGGCTCCTCCTGCCCATTTCTAGGGCAACCTGCTTCCCTCTACCCTGCCCCCAGATCTTGGAGTTGGGGCGCTCTCTCTCTTGATAGGACACTGACCCTGGCTCTGGCCCCACCAGGCCTCAGCATTCTCCCTTCATGCTCTGTTCTGCCCACCTTCCCCAGGAGCGCCAGCGCCTGGAGACCATCCTGAACCTGTGTGCTGAGTACAGCCGGGCTGACGGCGGACCTGAGGCTGGGGAGCTGCCGAGCATTGGGGAAGCCACTGCAGCACTGGCGTTAGCAGGCCGGAGGCCCTCACGAGGTCTTGTAGGGGCCACTGGGGCCTCAGAGCGGAGCAGCGAGGAGCTTGGAGGTGGCACCCAACGCCTGTGGGAGAATGTGGAGCGTTCAGATGAGGAAAATCTCAAGGAGGAGTGCAGCAGCACTGAGAGCACCCAGCAGGAGGTAGGATTGAGCGGACAGGTGGGGCAAGGGACTGGGGGTTGGACCTGCTGAGGGCAGAGGAGGTGGTGTAGTGGATGCCAAGGCTCAGTGAAGGCCCCACAGAGGGGGAAGGATCAGGTCTGGAAAGAGATTGGAGGTAGAAATGAGGAAGCAGGGAAGAGAGGGAAGTGTTGTTGAATATCCCAAGCTATAAATATGCTTTATGGGCAACCAGGCCTGACACTTAGGGATAGATCTTTATTTCCTTGAGCAGAGCCCTTACTGCTCCCCTCACAGGGAGGGGAATTAGCCCCATGTCTCAGTCCAGCTACCCTTTGCAAGTACCCGGAGGAATAGGTGATCCAGTCTCTTAGTTTGATCCTGGAAGGCATAGGCCTCTCCGCTGATGGTTTCCCTTCCCTCCAGCATGAAGATGCACCTAGCACCAAGCTCCAGGGAGAGGTGCTAGCCCTGGAAGAGGAGCGGGCTCAGGTTCTGGGGCATGTGGAGCAGCTCAAGGTCCGAGTGAAGGAGCTAGAGCAGCAGCTGCAGGAGTCAGCCCGAGAGGTGAGCCAAGAGGGCCCTGGCTGGACTCCTCCCTAGGCCAAGTAAAGGCCCCAGAGAGGGGCCTGAGTCCAGCTGCCTTGACGGGGACCGTACTGTCTGCCCCCAGGCTGAAATGGAGCGGGCACTGCTGCAGGGGGAGAGGGAAGCAGAGCGGGCACTGCTGCAGAAGGAGCAGAAGGCAGCGGACCAGCTGCAGGAGAAGCTGGTGGCCCTGGAGACGGGCATCCAGAAGGAGAGGGACAAGGTAACCCACACCTAGCCTGGTCCAGTGCTGGGTACCAGTGGCCTGGGAGAGAAGGAGAAATGTCTTCTCTGGGGCCCTCTACCACTTACTTGATCATCCATCCTGCACTGCAAGTGGTCTCTGTGGCCCTCTGGGGACAGGGGCCTTGTCCTCTGTGGAAGGTACCGCTTGGAGGGCACTGCCAGGGGCTGGGCTGGTGTCTGGTGTCTTCTCTGTCTGGGTCTCTGTGCTACCTCTGGGTGCCTGGGTTTCTGCCATTCCGGGCCCTTCATGGCCCTTCCTAGTAAGTGCCAGACCCCATTCTTGGGCACTGAGCACAGCCCAAGGGACTGATACTGGGGAGTGATTCAGGTTTGCATTCCACCACCTGGAGAACAGCTCCCTCCAGGTGCTTAGGTGCTTAGGTTGTGGTCTTTGGGAGATGGTCCTCAGGCCTCTGCTTTTCCTGAGCTTTCAGGATCTGCAGCCTCTCATCCCAGATGGTCCCAGCTCCTGCCCCTGCCCCTTTCAGATTTCGTGCCAGCCTGCAGGGGCTGCTCCGTCCCACAGGGGCCGTGCCAGCCCACACCCAAGATGCCCAAGAACGTGCCAAAAGCTCTGAAGTGGAGAGGGGTCATCTATTTCTGGATTTGACAGTATTTTTTTAAGAATTTAATTTTCCTTCTGGATTTTTTGAGAATATCTTCCTCCTGTTCTACATTTGGAGGGTCTTAAAAATCCTTTGACCTTTTTTTTTTTTTGGAGCTTCGGCTCTGGCCCCCAAAACCACACTCCCAAATTCTGTGCCAAATTAACTCCATGCTTACCAACCAGGCCTGCACTAACGCCCCTCTAATCACTGTCCTGGGTTCTCCGCATGCCCCTAACTGCCAGTGCCACCCAGGCGCGGCTAAGCCATGCCTGCTTTTGCACTAACTCTGTGGAGCCTCCGTGCCCCTGGCTTCTCCCCTCCAATGTCACCTCCTTCCTTTCTTGTTGTGGGACCCCAAAGTTTGATCAGAAAGGAATTGGCAGGAGAGTACAGCTCAGCTTTACTCCATGGGGCATTGGCAGGAGGGGCGTATGGGTGGGGAGAATGCTTGGCTGTGGAGCTGCTCAGCTGTAAGTGCTACTCCCACTAGAAATGCATAGGCCACTGCCTGAGACTGCAGGAGGTAACCCAAGGAAGCCTCCTGGAAGTTTCCTGCACAGCAGGCAGGCTATGTTCCACCCTTCCCCAGCTTGCCCTGGGAGGAGGGCATAAGGAGGCCCAGTTGTAGGCATGGCCTTGGAGGGCTTGGACAGGGCCTCTCTGCCAACCCAGTGGCTACCCTTCGTAGCTCTTTCCTGGGGCTGCCCAAATTCAGATACCTCAATTAGAGGGTGGGACTGGGTGGCACCCACTCCTCTGACCACCCCTGAGCCACCTAGAACACTGGGTATTTTAAAGGCTGAGTCCAAGGAGGAGGAAGTGCCTGGACTCCAGGAAATGGCTTGATCAGGTCCTCCTCTCTGGAGATGGGTAGGTGGGTTGGGTAGAGGTGTGGGGTTGGAGGGCACGGTTCAGCATTGGGGCTTACCCCCAGGGGCTGAAGCTCAGTATTTTACAAGGAAGCCTCACCTCATTTCCCACTGATGGCTTGCTGGGAGGACTGGACTTTGCCTTCCCTCTGGGCAGGAGAGGTTATTTGAGGTTGTGGTAGTGATGGTGATAGTAGTGGTGGTGGTGGCGGTGGTGGTGGTGATGGTGGTAGTGATGCTGACGGTGGGGATGGTTCACTCGGCTTCCCTCCCTAGCCCCCAGCCCATGGCCCTACTCTGGCTTTGGAATCCATTAATCACAGTTTCTCCTCTGCCTGCCTTTGGGAGGGGTGACTCACCAATTCCTCCCCTCGTCCCCTTCCCGCCCTCAGAGGTGTCATCTCGCCCTAGACAGAACCATCCACCCCCTCTCTGTACCCACTCCTGGGGCTCCTATTACCATGGCAACGGCCAAACTAATTGCCACCCTCATCTCTACTGAAGTTCAGCCTGCAGGGCCAGCACCCTACTCCCACCCCAGGCTGGAGGGGAGGGAGGCCAAGGGGGTTGGGCTGGGGCCCCCACTGCATTGCTGTAGCTTTAACATCCTCAGCTCCTGATTCACACCTGACCCCTGGATTTAACCCTTACCATCACTACCCTTTTCCCCAGGGTTAAATTTTGGTCTCTGGGTCATCGTAGAAGGGGAGAAACCGGTTCCGATTTGGGGATACAGAACCAGGATGGTTTGGAGAGAAAACAGAGGGCCTTTTCTTAGGCACTACCCAAACATTTTAGATGGAGGGACTCCATGAGACCAAAATCTCTGCCCTCCCCGACGCCCCTGCCTGTGCTGCCCCATCCCCTGCACTTCTGGGTCCTGTCTTAGCCCTCAGCTCCTGGCCTCTTCCCCTCTTTCCCGCCTCACGTTCCCTTTCTACGCTTTTCTTTCTCCTCTCCTGGTTATTCGCCCCTTTGATTCCTCTCTTTTCCCCTCTTCTCCCCACCCGCGTTCCCGACCCCCGTTTCTCTCCCGCCCTGGCCGTCCTCGCGCCCTGTCCCCTCCCGCCGCTGCCGGGCCGGAGTTGAGGAGTGTGTGTTCTGTTTCTCCCCTGTGCCCCGCCCTCCCCCTCGCCCTCCCCCGACCAGGAGAGGGCGGAGCTGGCCGCGGGACGGAGGCACCTGGAGGCCCGCCAGGCGCTCTACGCCGAGCTCCAGACGCAGCTCGATAACTGCCCCGAGTCAGTGCGGGAACAGTTACAGGAGCAGCTGAGAAGGGTCAGTTCCACCAGCCCCCCCTCCCCCGGCCCCCGTGGGCCACCGGCCCAGAAGGAAGCGAGGAGAGCAGTGGGACGGGACCACCCGGCCCCTGCAGTACCTGCCGGACACCAGGGTTGGTGCTGTGGCTTGGAGGGGACAGGGACGGTCCAGGCCGTGATGCCCGTGAAAGGGGCGAGGCCAAGCCGAGCGCAGGGGGTTGGGTGGGGGCAGGTTACTTCCCCAGTTTCCCCGGGTCCAGCCCCCACAACTCATGCCCCTGTGGCCTGGCCTACCAGGCCCAGAGTGGCATCGCGGGCACCACCCAACCCTCTTTGTCACTGTCGTTGAAGGAGGCAGAGGCCCTGGAGACTGAGACAAAGCTCTTCGAGGACTTGGAGTTCCAGCAGCTGGAGCGGGAGAGCCGCGTGGAGGAGGAGCGGGAGCTGGCTGGCCAGGGGCTGCTCCGGAGCAAGGCCGAGCTGCTTCGCAGCATCGCCAAGAGGAAGGTGTGCCCATCTGTTCCCGCTCGCTGCCCTGTGACTCCCAGCGACCGTGAGAGTGGAGGCCAGGGAGCCGAGTTTCAGTTGCTGTCGATGACCTCACAAAAGTCAATCTCGCTATTTTGTGCCTTAGTTTCCGCATCTGTTATAAACAGGCTGTTGTGAAGATTTGAAATCTGGATAGTAGAGCCAGCCAGGGGCCCTAGAAAAGGTGTCCACCTGGGTTCTGACCTTGGCTCAGCCTTGGCTTGGCTGATCTGTACAACGAGGGGGTTGGGTACTATGTCCTAGCCGGCTCCGAGGCGCCAGATGCTGTGATTGTCTGCGCCTGATCTCAGCCAGTTCAAGTGTGGATGGTGACAGGATGATGGGGCAGCTCTATGTGTGTGAAGGTCGGGGATAAAGCTGGGAGGGGGGGGCGTGTTAGCAAAGGTTAAAAAGAGGCGGCGGAGGAGAGCAGGGAGGATGGCTCAAGCGTTTCACACGCCTGCGACTGAGGCTTGTGTCTGTGCACATGCGTGCATGTGTGATTTGCCTGGGTGCAGTGAGGGTGTGGGAGTTTGGGCTGTGAGATGAGGGAGGGGTGTCCAAAAGTGGTGCGTTGAGGGATCTACTTGGTAGCCCAGGTCTGATGGTAAGTGGGGAGCCACTGGACCTCCCCTGGGTCCAGAGCCCATGCTTCTCTCCCTTAGTTGTTGTGCCTTACACATACATTCACTTTCGGGGCTATGAGACTAATTGATGAAAGGAAGGAAGAACCTGACATTTCCTAAGCACTTGAATGTGCCAACTGCCCTGCCAGGAGGCTTTCTTGGGTTATCTCATGTTATCCTCAGGATGGTCTCACAAGGCAGATGCTCTTATTCCCATTTTAAAGACAAGGGAAGTAGGGTCAAGAGAAGCTACTCATTTGCCCAAAGCCTCCCATTACATAGGCTTCTGATTCAGAATTGGAACCCAGGTCCGTTGGCCTCAAATCCCAGGTTTCTTCTACTGTACTAGGAGCTTGCACTTCTCCAACCTCTTCTTTCGGTCTGGGGAGAATGCAGAAGAGGGCCATAGATCAGCTAGTCTCATCCCTTTGAGGTCCTGATGGGTTTGACTCTAGGGAGTTTGGGTAGCGAACTCCACCTCCTGGCCTGGGGGACATGGTGGGATCACATTCTTCCCTATGCTCCTCCTCATGACTTGCCCAGCTGCCCCAGCTCCTCGTGTCCCACTCCAGGCCCCGTCTGCCCTGGGGCCCTGTGTTTCTTTGTCCTCTCCACTCTGACTCAGAATAGTTCAGAGTACCGGCCGTGGAGTCCAATGCTAGCTCCTAAATGTGTCAGGGTTCTCACCTATAAAATGAGTATAAAGGCACCTGCCTCAGAAGGGGTTAAGTGAGGTAACAAATGCAAAACATTTAGCAGAGTTCCTGGCTCCTAGTGGGTTCTTAGTAAATGGCAGTTCTTGCTGTGAGGATTACTGCCTAGCCTGCTTCAGTATGCTGTTGGACTAACCCCAGATTTAGGTCAGTTCTCTTCTTTAAGTCTTTTCCCATTCTTGCTCCTAAGGGTGGTAGTTTAAGGCCACCTTTTTCAGGAAGCCTTTCCGGAATTAACCCAGCTCATTTTCCACATTCCTTATCCTTCCCCTTTCCTCATGATTTTTTTGTTTTGTTTTCTTTTTTTTTTGAGTTGGAGTCTCACTCTGTTGCCTAGGCTGGAGTGCCATGGCACACTCACAGCCACCGCAGCCTTGACCTGCTGGGCTCAGGTGAGCTTTCCACTTTATCCTTCCAAGTATCTGGAACTACAGGCACATGCTACCATGCCCAGCTAATTTTTAGGTTTATTGTTGAGATGAGGTCTCGCCAAGTTGCCCAGCTTGGTCTCAAACCCCTGGGCTCAGGCAAACCTCTTGCTTCTGCCTCCCAAAGTGCTGGGATTACTGACATGAGCCACTGTGCCCAGCTATCTTTTCATTTTCTTGTAGCACTTGACTGTTGAACCAGGCACTGTGCTAAACGCCTTGTTGGGGATATGAAGACAGAAAAGACACTGGCCTTGCCCTTGGATCTTACATTTGGGGAGGGGTGGTAGAGGTGATGACAGATATATCCACAAATAACAGTAATAAAAGACAGATGGTGACATGGAATAATGAGAGCACAGAGGAGGGAGCAAAGAAATTGAGTGGCAGTCAAGGAAGGCTTTGGAGAAGAGTTCGGATTTGTTCTGGTCTTAGAGGATAAGCAAGCTCTCGATGGCTGGAGAAGATGGGGACAGCTCTCCTGGCCTAAGGGAGTGTCATAAGAAAGTCCTGAGAGTCTTCAGCTGTACTGCTGAGTGTGCAACCTGGCTAAGCCAAGAGGCTGTGGCGGGCTGGGGGGCAGAGGAGCTGCAGAGGGTAGGACCGGTGTGGGAGCCCTTGAATGCCGGGTAAGGAGTTGGTGCTTTATCCTGTGGGTAATGGGGAGCACAGAAAGGTTCTGAGGAGAGGAGTGATCTGACCTTATTTGTAGATTTTTTTTTGAGTTGGAGTCTCACTCCGTTGCCCAGACTCGAGTGCAGTGGCACGCTCCCAGCCACTGCAGCCTCAACCCGCTGGGCTCCAGCAATCCTTTCCACCTCAGCCTTCCGAGTAGCCGGAATTACAGGCATCCACTACCAGGCCTGGCTGATTTTTTTTGGGATTTATTGTATAGATGAGGTCTCACCAAGTTGCCTGGGTGGGTCTCTAACCTGTGGGCTTAGGCAGTCCACTCACCTTGGCCTCCCAAAGCGCTGGGATTACAGGCTGAGCCACTGAACCTGGCCTATTTGTGGATTTTATGTTATTTGGAGAGAGAAAGTACTACTTGTGAATTTTTACAAAACTGTTCAAGTAATACTTCTTTTTATAAAGTTTAGAAAGTTCAGATAAACAAACCTCAAAGGTCATTTTAGGAAGATAACTTGTGGAGTGGATCTGAAACTTGAGAGAGTGGAAGCAGAGGCTGGCGAGAAAGCCCAGGGCAGGGAAGCAGAGGGCCTGGATTTGGCTGTGAGGTGAGGGAAGAAAGATTTGGGGATTTGAGTTCTGGCTAGTGTGCCTAGTGGCATGGGGTCACTGGTCAAGGGAGGGGCGAGGGAAGGAGTCAACATGGCAGCCTGAGTTTTCCTCTGGTGAGTTGAGGCCATGCAGAAGAACTGGTTGATCCCTTTCATCTGAGACTGGCGTCTCTGGGCAGGGGAGACGGCCAAGCCCCATCTTGGACTCAGCCCTGTCTCTCCAGGGCCTGACTGACCACTCCGTTTCCTCTAGGAGCGCCTGGCCGTCCTGGACAGTCAGGCTGGGCAGATCCGGGCCCAGGCCGTGCAAGAGTCAGAGCGCTTGGCCCGGGACAAGAATGCCTCCCTGCAGCTGCTACAGAAGGTATTGTCCCTCAGGCTGGGCTGGGGGATTTGGGAGCAGGGAACGTGGGATGGGAGCACAGAAGGGCTGGGGTGGAGGTTTGTCAACACAGGAGTGTCCCTCATGTTGCCCCCTTGCCCTCTGACTCTCCGCCACTCTGGGCTCACAGGAGAAGGAAAAACTGACTGTGCTGGAAAGGAGATACCACTCGCTCACAGGGGGGAGGCCTTTCCCGAAGACAACGTCGACCCTCAAAGAGGTAACATGGTTGGGTCAGCCCCAGCGTCAGCCCCAAGGGTTGACCTGGGAGGCTCTGGGACAGCACATGGCACTTTCACCCCTGTGGCTGATGTTGAATGGAGTGTAGGGGCTTCTTCCTGAACTGGAGAGATTTGAGGAGGAATGACCCTGAGATCTGGGATTTGACCTTCCATGGCTACCAGCTACTTCAGTTTAGTTGTCGTCTGGGCTCTCAGGAGCCCATTGGTCTCACCATTCTGGGTGACTGTGAATATATGTGGAGTATGCCATGGGCCTGGGTGGGTGGGTGATTTGGTAGAGGTAGGGTTGTGTTGGGATCTAGCGATGCTGATCCTGGGGCTCTTGGCCTTCGGTCTGGAGTCAGGCTTTTGTCTCAGGAGGCAGCATTGTGGCCCCTTAAGCGGCTCTTTCTCAAGTCTGCATGTTTGGTGTGTGAAGTCCAAATAGAACATGTCTGATTTCCCCGACCTCTTTTTCTCCCTCCCTGCCTCACAGCACAAACAATTTAGGCCTGGGGTAGGGGGCTGGGCTGAGTGTGAGGGGTGTGGCCCCTCACCATGTCCCTTCTCTGTAGGCTGAGCTGCTCATCTCCGAGTCCTCAGAGATGATGCTGGGGACTAAAGCTCTGGGCCTGTTCTCAGAGTCCTCTCAGACTGGGGCCACCTCTGTCCCCTTAACCCCATCTGCTTCTACACTACTCTGCCCCAAGGCACAAGAGGTAATCACACCTGACAGCACGCTCTGCTTTGCCTACTTCCTTTCTGCCTGCCTGCTGAGCCCTGCCTGCAGCTCCTCCCAGAGCCCAGCTGAAGGGCGTGTGGTGATAATCCCTTGGCTGGCCAGCATTTGGGAGAGTGTGTGTGAGTGTGCCATCCCACTCGTCCATAGATTGCCTGGACAGCCGGTGCAAAGTCAGAGCATGGATTTGCATATTAACTTGCCTGTATTCTGAATGCCACAACATGCTGGATGCTCCGGCTCATTTTTCTCTTCCATGACCCCCAGAGAACAATCTGGTTCTAGAGCTAGGCCTGCATAGGCCCCATGGATAGGGCAGGCCTGTGATCCTTGGATTGAGCATGCACTGTGGATGTCTACCATGCTCCCAGCACCTAGATAAGCTCAGTTTCTAAGGGTGGGTGATGAATATGACAGTTCTTGTGATTTGAAGAATCCCACGATTGAATGTGCTGGCATCTTTCCAAGGACTTACCTTGGGCAGTGGGCATATTTTCCTGCCAGGCTTCCGGCTATTTCCCACTAAGGCCTCTTTCTTAGAACCCATCTTGCTCAGGCCCGTCTTGCTCTTGCTCACCTCCCCACACCCGTTTCCAGTTCCTGCCCTGGCTGATGGGGTGTGAAGGGACCCTGCTGCTTGATGCTGCATGTTTGTGCCCCACTGGGGGTGCCCAGGGTGTTGGAGATGGCGGGGTCTCTGGGAGCTGGGTCCTGATCCTCAGTGGGCTCTTGGAAGGCCTTCCCTGGGCATCTTTGCCTGTCCCAGTTGCCCAGGGCAAACTCAGGGATGTACCTTCAAGGTGCACCCAGGGCAGGAACTGGTTGCCAAGGTGGCTCCTAACATGGAGGTCAGGAGGAGACTTTAGACAGTCATGTCACCTTTTTCTGGTTCCCACCACCCTCTGCAGCCATCTGTGGCCACAGTGGGCAGCTGAGCACCCCACCCCTGCCCTGGATTTTGTATTGACCTGGAGTGATGGCCCTGTGGCCTGGCATGGAGTGTGGAGTGTTGGGTACTTGGTTGAACCCCCTTAACCTCTCCTCTGCCCATCTTCCCCATCCCACCGGGCACTTCAGGAGTATGTGAGCCTGGCAGAGGTTCTCCAGCTGTGCTTCCGCTTGGATCCCTATGCTTCTGCCACCTCCCCCGGCGTGCTCGCCCAGCCCCTGCCTGACAGTGAGGTACCAGCCACTGAGGGTGGCACCAGTGTGCAAGAGCCTCCTTATGGATGTCCCACATTCCCCCTTGGGCCTGAGTGGGACCTGGGTGGGGCTGGGGGGACAGCAGCGTCTTTCTTCAACAGCCAGGGAGAAGGGTAGCTGGCATCAGGGGGCTTGGGAGTGGTTTCCTGTCTTCCCTGGGGCCTTGAGAGCTTTCTTTGCTCCCTGGCTCGGAGAGAAAGTGGCCTTCTGCTCCAGGATGAGAGCATTGTGCTGAGAGGACTTGGCTCTCCTGGACTTGTGGGCTCTGCAGGCTGCCTCTGCTCTTTCCCTTCCCTCCCTGTGGGTACGGCCATCTCTGGCATTCCAGTTCCATTAACCTCTTGTATTCCCTTCTGCGCCCGGCCTTGCCCCAAGTACGTGACGCTTGAGCAGCTAAAGGCGACGTGGGGCACCTCGCCCCTGCCCTCAGCCCCGGCGCCAGGCCTGCCTCCCTGGGCTTCTGCCTCCCGGGACCTGGTTCCCACCACCTGCATTCCTCCCATGCGGCCCTCCTCCTCCTTCACTTCCGTCACGCCTTTACCCGAGGTGGGTGGTCTGTGAGTTCTTGCCACCCCACCCCATGACTGGAGTGCTCTGTGTGTGTGTGTTTTGCCCCCGCTCACCCGGCCTCTCGGCTCTTGGCCAGCCTGAGGGGAGCATTCCGTGCCGTGGGCTCTGGCTGGCGGCTGGCGTCATGGCTGGCATAGCTCGTGTCTGTGGTCTGAGAGTTGTACTCTGTTTCTGTTTGCCCTGAGCACATTCAGGGCAACTGTCGTCTCACTGTTTTTCTCTTCCTTTTCTTTATGCTTTCCTTTCTCCCTTCCTTCCTCCCCTTCTTCCCCTACCTTCCTGTCCATTTCCCTGACCTGGCCTTTCTCTATCCTTCCTCCAACCTTCCCCTCCTTCTTATTTCTTGGCCTGTCCTGTCTATCCTTCCCCTCTTGTCCCCGTCCCCCTTCCCATTCCCATCTCCAGATGGAGAAGCTGCTGCTCCCTGCTGTAGACTTAGAGCAGTGGTACCAGGAGCTGATGGCCGGGCTGGGAACTGGCCCTGCTGCAGCCTCCCCTGGCTCTTCTCCCCCGCCTCTGCCCGCCAAAGCTTCCCGTCAGCTGCAGGTAACCCCTCCACTGCTGTCCTGCCCACTCTTTGCTCCTGTCTTCTCTGAGTAGCTGCTGGCGATCCGTCAGCCTTACCCAGTGCCACCTTGAGTGGAGGAGTCAGTCCAGCCAGGGCAAAGGGGGGGCCTCTGGGCCCTGAGAGGGCAGTGGGGGTCTCTCTATGTGCAGCCATCCTGGCACTTTGGGCAGCTGCAAGGCCAGCCTCCTGAGTCCAGGGATGACATGATTGTCCAGTGGAAGGTGGTTCCGGAGCCGTGGTCAGGTTGGGAGCTGTTTGGTGCCCTATGCTGAGCTAGAATGTGGGTCTGCTCTGTCCTTGGCAGCCTCCAATCCCAGGACTTCTCACCCAGTCTGAGGGCCTGACATACTCTTGGGACTATCACAGCTGGAACTAGTGTGTCTTGTGAGAACTGCCAGTATTTTGTTCTCCTGTTCTCCCCAAGGGTGACACTTGGAGGCGGAAAAGTAGGGGACAGAGACTCTGAAGTTAGAGCCCTGAGGACAAGCCCTTGCTTTCTCAGAGTTGCCATGATAGCCATGGGCCTACCTGAAACTACAGCAGGCAGCTGTGGGGTGGGGCAAAGATCCTTGGGTAGTCTTTTCCCTAAGTTTCCTCCACTGACTTGCTATAGTGCTTAAGATTCCACTATTCAAGATCATGCCTTCAGTGGAGCCACTGCACCGCTGAGACTGTGGCCTCAGCTAAAGTTCCACGTTTCCTTTAGGAAGAATTTGGTCATATAACACCTCCACTGTGGGCCCGGCTGGTTAGAGACTTGGACATATTTTGATTCATTTAATCATCACCACAGGCCTTTGAGGTAGATGACGTTAACTCTGGTTTTACAGATCAAACTCTGGGGCCTGGAGAAGATAAGTAAGTAACTTCCCAGGGCCACACAGCTAGGAAGCAGCAGAGCTTATGCTGAGAGTCAGGACCTTGACTCTAAGGCCATATTCACTGGATGTTAGCACTGTAAGGGAGCTTGGCAATTATTTGGTCTAGTCCTAACCACCACCCCCCATTGCAGATGAGGAAGCTAAGGCCCAGAGTGAGGAGGCATGTGGTCCAAGGTTACACAGTCTGTAAGTGGCAGAGCTAGAATCAAAGGGAACTCGGCCTCCGGTTGGTCTCCTTCAGGGCCTGACTGGCACTAACTCCTTGGATGGGTCTGTTTACAGGTCCTTTCTCAGACC